CAGCAGCAGTAGTAGCAGTACTAGCAGGTAGTAGTAGTAGTAGTAGTAGTAGTAGTAGTAGTTGTTGTTGTTGTTGTGGTCGTTGTTGTTGTTGTTGTTGTTGTTGTTGTTGTTGTTGTTGTTGTGGTTGTTGTTGTTGTTGTTGTTGTTGTTGTTGTTGTTGTTGTTGTTGTATGTTTTTTAAGTAGCAGTAGTTAAGTAGCAGAGGTAGTAGTAGTAGGAGGAGGAGGAGGAGTCGGAGTAGGAGTTGGAGTAGAAGTAGGAGCAGTAGCAGTAGCATTACTGGTAGCAGGAGCAGCAGCAGACGTAGTAGTATACAAGACTACAGGCAGCTCAATGATTTGTGACGGGAAAGGAGATGGGAAGTCAACACGTCGGACACGAGGTCGACGGCTAATGAAGCAGATTACAGACTATGACATGCGACGAGGCGCGATGGATTGTACTTCTCCTTCAGGCGCCGCTCGATGTCCTGGCACCGTTGGAATCAAGGAGCTGGAATGTCTCCAGCAAGGTAGCTGCCAATGGAGACTGCTTTACCAGTAGCGAAGGTTTGACTTTGTATGCATCATCATGTATCTGAGTAAGGGCAGGAGCTACCGGTTCTGTTGATTGAGCTGCAGCAGCCACAGGAGCAGGTGTGCAAAAATCACTTCATGTTTCAATATAGGCTCTGCAGTAGAAAAAAGAACCGCTCCGTGTGAAAATCTTATGAGATGTACACCCAACTCTTCGGAGGCCACGTTGTTTGTGCTCTCCAGACGGAACTGCGGCAACGCGCCTGCTCCAGCGGGATGCCTGGATGCCAACGCAGAACCGGAGCTGGAGAAGTAGGGTGGCTTTAGCTTCGGACAAGGTCTCCCTCTCCAGCGATCTTGTGTCGGATGCCACAAGTTGACTCGCAGGCGAGGAGCTCATGTCGGGAGCTCCCGGCTGCTGGCCATTCACTGCCATCGCCGCGGCCTTCTGGGCAGCGATGCCTTGTCCCGTGAGCGTGGAGCCGCACAAATTTAGGAGTTTGGCTATCTAATGCATGCCTGAGCTCTAAGAGTGAGGCATCGGTCGAGTCGCACTGCAATACACGAGATACTGGGGAAGGAAAACTGCCTACTCTGGCCGTAACGACTTTGAGCTGTAGCCACTCCGCATGGCAGCTGGAAGCTTCTCTAGGTGCTGAGTAGCGCCGGCTGCACGTGCAGATTCCAACCGAGATGCCTTCAAGTCCAGCCGCCTGCATGGATGCGGAGCACGCACCACGCCCAAACTGCTGAAGGACCTTATGAGGACCCGCCCCACGTCGGCCTTGGCAGCCTGTAGCGCCACTTCTTCCTTTGGCTTGGCTGGAGCCTTTGGCGCCGCTGTCGCCGGTGATTCGGCGGATTTCCTGGGCTGTTAAGGCAGGTCAACGCGCACACAGGACAAAGCGATGCTCGTTGCAGCCCAACACATGCACGCCTTGCAATGCCCTGCAGCCAAAGCACTTCAGCGCTGCCTCTGTCTCTTCAATCTTTGCCTGACGAAA